ATCATCCATCCAACAAATGTTTAGCCTCACTTGATGATTCCATATCCCAGACTGGCGATGATGATCAGAACCCGGGCCAGAGTCCTCTTCAAAGATGAGAGCAGCTCAGCAAACACCACGGCCCCGTGGACTGCAGGAGGACACATTWTGTCTCACCGTGTCTCACTCTTTGGACGTTTCATGAGGAGCTGAAGCTCTGCGAGTCCTTCCCCTACCTGACACCCCGTCGTATCTGATGCTCTGGAACTCTGCGTAGTAAACGGCTTTCTCCAGCATCCCCAGGAAGATGACCCCTCCGATCCAGAACTGGATCCTGAGCAGGTCCCTCCAGTAGCAGGCGGACAGAACCAACCACAGCAGGGCCATGAAGACGTAGATGATGCACATCACCATGTAGAACTGGAGAACAGGAGCAGAGACACCCATCAGTCAGGGAGCAGACCGAGGGTTTTGTATGTGTGTGTATGTGTGTGTGTGTGTGTGATCTTACCACCATCAGGGGCCATTCAGTAGCAGAGATGTAACCATGAGGGCCCTCCATGCTGACCTCAACTACAAACACATTATTATTATTATTACCTTTATTTTGTCACTAAAACACACATTAACTGGATTTATTGTCTTAATTTTGTGTTTTAGGTGTTTTAATCCCAACATTTGGTCCTTTTGTTCTGATTCAGAGAACCACTGGGTCAAAATTAGTCTCTCCTCATTTAAAAGTTTTCATCTTTTTCGATGATGTAATCAGATTACTGGAGGCTACAGCTTCTGGTGTTTTAAGGTGTGTGCAGGTGAGCACTGACGCTGCAGAGTCCAGTCCTGTTTGGGCGGGTTCACACTGACGTCCTGGACCCTGAGGATGAAGATGTAGGGTCCGTCCTCCCAGGTCTTGGCCACCAGGTTGAAGGAAGACTGAGGAGATGACTGAGAGCAGAACCAAACAGCAGAACTTCAGCACGATAACTGAGCATTTTTTGTTAAGAGAGTGAGTAATTATAATTTTAAGGGATTAGAYAGGTTTGTAAATCCTAAAATTTGAACCAGTTTGAAGGACTGGTGTACGTCAGTCATAGGAATAAGACTGTGGAACATACTGGAAAGTGATTATAAAAATGTTGGCTCAATAAATTTGTGTTCATAAGAGGTGTTCAAGAAGGAGTTGAAGTCTTTTGTTAGGTTTTGTTATTTGAAGATTATTATTGTTTGAATTTATTTATATTTGGAAAAAAAGGGAAAAATATTAATAAGATTTTTTCTTCCCTCTGCTACCTTTCATTTTATTTGTGATTTGTATAATTTGTTG